TCACAAAATTTAACTTATTTTTTCTAATCTACTTAGAGTAGTTTGCATACACCATGCCTCTTTACCACCTTAATACTTCAGTGTCTAGTTCCTAAAAACCCTCTTAAGTAACCTCAATAAAGCTATCAAAATCAGAAAGTTTAACATTGATAAGAGTATTTGACCTAATCTATCATCTCTATTCCAATTCTGTCAATTTTCTGATGTCTTGTATAGCATCCTTTCCTCCAGTACAGAATCCAGTACATAATCAGATATTGCATTTGTCATTTGTCTTTAGTCTCTTTTAACCTGGAGCAGTTCCTTGGTCTTTCTTTTATGACTGACATAAAGGCCAATGTTTTCTGTTTGTTTTCTTTCATCAAATAGGATTTTCTGCTTTTCTGAAATTTCCTAATGATTAGATTCAGGTTATGCATTCCAGCTGGAATACTACTTAAGTGATGTTGTGTGTCTCTCAGGGTATCACAACAAGAAGCATACAATCTCAGTCTGCCCCTCACTGGTGATGTTTATTTTGATCACCCAGTCGAGGGGCTGTCCAGTTTCTACACTGGATAGGTATTAATTTTGCCCTTGGAATAAGCAATAATGTGTGGGGAAGAAAGTATAGGGCCATGAAAATATCCTGCTCCTCATCAAACTCCCAGTCTCGACTTAGCATCCATTCATGAGTCTTGCCTGAACCAATATTTACTATAATGGTTACAAAATGGTAATTTTCCAACTTCTCTTGTTCCTCCATAGTTATTAATCAGTACTGTATTGTGGGAAAGAGTCCTTCTTCCCATTTATCTATTAGACTATTCATGAATTTCTATTTTTCCAGTGGTTTAGAATTCATTCCTGTCTTTAATTATTCTGATGCACAAATTGTCCCAGATTTGAACAGTGGGAGCACCTTCAAGCTGGCTTCTGTGTCTTTCTGACCTGCTTCTTCTTCTTTTTTTTTTTTTTCTTTCTTGCCTTCTCTTACAAGTAATCTTGGTTCCTTTTAGTGGGAAATGGTATTAGAAACCAAAGTCTGGGTGCCAGATGTGCTCATTGTTACTGGTATCTTTGTTTCTGAGCTCTTTCCTGAAAAGACCTAGAAGATGTGTATCATATATTTATGTATACTTATACCATCTTTTGGAGCCCTGGTGGTACAGCGGTTAAGAGTCAGGCTGCTAACAAAAAGGTTGGAAGTTCAGATGCACCAGTTGCTCCTTGGAAACCCTATGGGGCAGTTTTACTCTGTCCTACAGGATCGCTATGAGTCAGAATCAACTTGACAGCAATGGGTTTGGTTTTTTTTTTTTTAATACCATCTTTGATGTATATTTAAATCTGTTGTATGCAGACTTATGCTGTACATGGACTTACGCTGTACACGTAAGTGGTATGTGTGTTTCAAAATACTGTAAAGGATGCCTCATCCAGTTGACCTATAACCATTCACTTATAATTTCTTCATGTAGAATATTACATGTATGTAAAATTATTTGACCTTAAACTTGCTTACTGGTTTAAGTCATCCCAAATGAACTAGCAAGCATATCATCACTTCATCCAGAACAGATAAGAATATGATGAGTAAAAGAGTAACGATCTAATTCTGAATGATGAAACTCAAATATTGTAAGCTTAAACCAATGGATTGTGAAGTCTATCTATAATGCCCAGGTCTCTAACATAAAAGCCTGGTCTGCCACACCATCCTTTCTCATCAAGCAATCTGTATACTCACCTCCTTGTGTCATCAGAATGTTAGCAACTAGAGGACACTTCGTGACAGTTAAAGTAGAAAAAGAGGCTGAGTAATTTGAGAATTCTGGTCCTATACCCATTCTGTACCACCTTTTTAGCTTGCTTAGCCATTTAGATTGTTAAGGAAACAAATGATTGAATTTGAAAATGTTTAAGTGGTTTATGTGGTTTTGTAATTCTGCTTCTGTGTGCTGTATCTCAAAGAACTGTATTTTTTTTGCTGTGACCCCAAGTAAAACTGAAATTGAAACTAAAATTGGGAACAAACATGTACACAGTTATGCTCTGTGCATACTTCACAATACAAATTATAAGTATCTATCATATACAGTATAATTTAAGGTTTACATACTGTTATTTTAACCACAGCCTCATCCTTGTTTTAGCTTCAGCTCTTAAAAAAGATATATTAAATGCTCATCATCAGTTCTTTTCCTCAGACATCTCTTCTTTGGGTGAAACTCACTGTCTAATAGATCCTCAGGAAGACTACTTGTATAGAGTATTCTCTGAGTTCTTACATGGTCAAAACTTTTCTATAGCCTTAATCTTAAAAGCAGTTGGCTGGATATAAACCTAAATTTGTGCTTTCATTCCTTAAGTTTCTTTAAAAATGTTGTTCCACTTTTTTCTTGCTTCATACATTGCTTTTGAGAAGTCTAATTCCAGTTAACTATCCTACCATTGTGTAATTTATTTAATCTTCTTGCCTGAAGCCCTAAGGATTTTTTTTTTCCTTTAAAGTCTATTAGTTTTACTAGGATATGTCTCAGAGATATTTGTATGGGTTAATTTTCTCTAGTACCCAGCAGACCATTTCAATGTGTAGATTCAAGTCTTCTTTTATGTTTTTGGAATTATATTTCATGGATTACAGCTTATTTTTCTTCAAGAATTCCAGTTGTACATATTTTATATCTTCTTTCCTGTCTTCTGTTTCAACTGCTTTCTCTCATCTTTTTTCTTTCATTCTGCATATAATTTTTAAAATAGTATTTCCCTGTTTTTCTTCAATGCCCTTTATTAAATTGTCATTTGAATCTATTCTAACTTGGGCACCCTGTTATTTAGTCTTCATTTCTGATATGATTCTATCTTTTCCTTCATTTCTTTCCCCTGAATTTAATCAACTATCACTATACTTCCTCCTGCTTTTTGTCCATTTCTATTCTTAGTTTTTTAATATCTGATCCAAAGTTTTTTTCATTTGTTTTTTCCCTATACCACCTAATGCTTGTCTGAGGGTATTTATATTTATTCAGTTTGGAGTGCTGTGTTACTGTTTTTCTTCTGTATAATGGTAGATTTGGGGGGTGGGGAAATTTTTCAACAGATGGAATGTTTTGATTTGGATTTTATGTTTTCTTTTTACAGTATTTTTACTGGATTCTTTTTTCTTCTATTTCTGGGCATTTGGTGCACAAGGCAGTATAAGTGTATCCTATCAATTTAGTGATGTTCAATTTGTTTGATGGATGATGGAAAAGAATTAATGTGTAATTTTTCTTCTTTCAGGAAAATCAATAATATTTTCTTATTTCTTTCCCTTCACTGGCCACATCTCCAAGGTTCACCACCTTTTCCCTAATTATCTCACTGTCCTCTAGAAGAAATGTTCTGCCACTTCTTATCCTGTTCATTTTCAAGCCTTTTTCTTTAGTCAAAGTTGTGAACTATCAAGTCCCATGGCTCGGTTCAGTATTTTGGCACATACAGATGAACTTTCTCTTTCTAAGGGTGATTTTTGCCTGTGTTTTGTCTACATTTTCTGTTCTTCTCTCCTCTTTTTCACAGACCCTCTTCAGACTCCCCTCCCCACTCTATGCACCCGCAGGCTTGCTGCAGCAAGAGCTCTGCTGAATTCAGTGCTCTTTGACCTTCTCTACTTACATGTAATTGCAAAATTATGGTATTTCTTACCTCCTCGCAATGCTAAAGGCACGGGTCATGTGTGGTTTTATTTGGACTCCCTGTTGATATTATGGTTTTTTTGTGGAAAAGGATGTGCATGTTGATTGCCATAGTCCTCCAGACCCAGAATCTCTCTCCTTGCTCGTTGTTAATTTCATTTTTGGAGTTCCCCAAAACCAGAAAAAATCCTCAAGGCAAACTGGAAGTTTCCAGCTTTATCTGGGACTCTCTTAGAGGTGTTACAAGGTTTTGAAATTGCATCTGCATCTCCATCTGGCCCTCAGTGGAAAACTAATTTCCACTATCCTTTTTTTTTTTCCTTAAAAATTGGTGGCTCTCTTGTAGCTATATAGTCTTAAAACTTCTGAGAGACTTCATGCAAGACTTTCCCTTCACAAGTGTTACAGATTAAATTGTGTCTCCAAAATATGCATTGTAAATCCTAACCCCTATACCTGTAGTTATAATTCCATTTAGGAATGGATTTTCTTTGTTATGTTAATGAGGCGGTATCAATGTAGGGTATGTCTTAAGCCAGTTTCTTTTGAGATATAAAACAGCAAATGAAGAAAGCAAGCAGAGATGGGGGAGACAGATGCCATGCCACATGAAGATCACCAAGGAGCTAAGGAACAGAAGCTGAAAAGAGACAAGGACCTTCCCCTAGAGCTGACAGAGAAAGCCTTCCCCTAGAGCTGGCGCCCTGAATTCAGACTTCTAGCCTCCTAAACTGTGAGAAAATAAATTGTTAAAGCCACCCATTTGTGGTATTTCTGTTATAGCAGCATTAGATAACTAAGAAAAGGAAGTTTCATCACTCAGAATCAACTAGGCTACGCTGCAGTAACATATTACCCTGAAATTCAGTGGCTTAAAATAACAGTTTATTTCTTACTCATTCTACATGTCCATCTTGGGTAGTCTAGGAACTCTGTTCCATATCTCTTCACTATACAGTCTAGGCTCACAGCGAAGCCACCATCTAGAGTACTGCCAGTTGATAAAGCAGTGGGAATTGTTGAAGCACCTCAAACCAGCAGTTAAACGCACCAGCTTTGAAGTCTTATGTGTAAACTCTGCTCCCCATTTCATTGGCTAGAACTAGTCACATGACTCCAACCAACTACAAATGGACCATCTATCTTGTGCCAGGAAAACCACAAATCCCTACCAGAGAAACTGTATTTTAAGCCCAAAATATTTCTGTTAACAGCAACAAGAAAATGTACTACTTAGCATGTGAAAACTAAACTGACTCAACATTAAAATCAAATAAATTGCATTCTAATTAAGTTCAAATGACATGCACAGAATTCAAATAGGACCTGTCAAATACATACATTTTAGCTGGCCAAATGATGAAGACTAAAATGCTTTAATTAGGGTTCCTAGAAAACAAAGAGGTTTAAATTATGAAAGATAAGTGTATCCATAATACTCTTATGAAGAAAATTTGCATGATTTTTCCTAAAGAGAACAACTAAAATATACACACATATACTTACATGAATATACACAGAAATGTTTATATACAAGAAGATTTATATTTTATTACCTGTTTACTTAGCACAAATACATCAGAGGTAATATCTGAAGAGGTGGTTAACAGGAAGAAAGTTACTTATTATTTAATTTTATTTATTATTATTTGTTTTAATTTGGGCTACACATTTGGACAGCAAAAAGACAAGCTTAAACCTATGTATAGTAGCTATACAATAGTACACTGATATATCAAAAATATACCAAAAAAACCCCAAACAAAAAAGCAACACCCTCAAGGACATCCATAGGGAAAGAAGATTAACAATAGAACGGGACTTATTATTTCTCCATTGCATGGCTCTAGAAAAAAATTTTAAAGAATTATTAGAATAATAAAAATTGAACACTCATAGACTCCTCATGGAAAGGACATAAGAAAATTTCAATTTTGCTTCCCCATTATTTGCATTTTCTATAACTATTAACATGTGCATGGAAAAACATACTGGTTTTTAAAACGTGGTCTCTACTTTACCAAAACCAAAAAAATCAAACCCATTGCCGTCAAGTCAATTTCAACTCATAGTGAACCTGTAGGACAGAGCAGAACTGTCCCACAGGGTTTTCAAGGCTGCAAATCTTTACAGAAGTAGACCACCACATCTACTCCTACGGAGTGGCTGGTGGGTTTGAACCACTGACCTTTTGATTAGCAGCCAAGTGCTTTAACCACTGCGCCACGAGGGCTCCTTCTACTTTACCGAGCTGTCCTAATTTATGATGATTGAAATTGAATTTGAAAATAATGGCAGAATAAAAAGAATTCACGTAAAAAAGTATAACATATTGGCAATAGCTAAAAAAAGAATATATCTATAAAAACCATTTTAATTAAAAAATTAAAACTCAGAGTATACTTTAAAATATTGATTCTACAAATGGTTAACAAGTTTCAATTACATGTAAGCATTGACTATGGCTATATAGAACAGTAGTGGTTTAGAGTCTCACTACCTCGGATGGAATCTAGGCTCCATTCACTAGCTCTGCATTCTCAGACAAATTACTTAACCTCTTTGTGCCTTCATATCCTCATCTGTAAAATGAGGATATTAGTAGCATCTACGTTACAAGATAGTTATGGAGATATGAAGGCTGAAAACTGGAAATGTCTGAAAGCCTTTTAAGGAGTTTTACTACCCAGGTTCCCACACTCAGAGCACACAAGATTAATAATTTCAAGAGACGAAGAATTAGAGCACTGGTAGCGCAGTAGTTAAGAGCTCAGCTGCTAACCAGAAGGTTGGCAGTTCGAATCCACCAGGTGCTCCTTGGAAACCCTATGGGGCAGTTTTACTCTGTCCTATAGGGTCGCTATGAATTGAAATCGACTCGATGGCAACAGGTTTGTTTTTTTGTTTGTTTTTTTGGCATAGAAAAGGGCAAGGATGAAGTGGGAAACTGAAAACATGGAATTAAGTGAAAGTCAACATCTCCTGCTGCCTTCAGAAAACAGACTCTGGAGGATCCTTCTCTGGAGAAATGGGACAACTTGGGTAAAATACTTATTCACACTGACATGTTGGGTCTTAGTGAAAAAGCCTCTAAAGTGTAAGCCTCCAACTGGCAAAGCATGTATCGCTCACATAGAGCTTCTAACAACTTTTTAGTGCCTTACTCATATTAGCAGTCAAAAATTTTCAGACAATTGAGAAAAATCCCTAATATGAAAGAAACTAAAATATAGAGGTACAGAGGAAGGAATAGAGAAGAAAGACAGGCAATTTAGCGTACAAGGAAAATAAAACTTTATAGGAAGTATAATTAATATCCAAGAGATATATTTCATCCATAAAATAGAAAGAGGGTACGATTAAAAAGGATTAAGTTTGAACAGAAGAGAACTCTCAGAAATTTTAAAAATCTGAAATAAAATGTCTATAAGAGATCTGAAAAATAAAGTTAAAGAAATAAGCCAAAAAAGTAAGAGAGAAAAACATTAAAAATTACAGAATAATCTTGGAAATCCAATGACTAACTAATAGAATTTTAGAAAGTGTGAACAGAACAACCAAGAGGAGGAAATTATCAAATAAATCATCCAAAGAATATTCCCAGTTCTGGGAACCATGGTTTCGGGGGACATCTAGGACAACTGGCATAACAAAGTTTATTAAGAAAATGTTCTGCATCCCACTTTGGTGCATGGTGCCTAGGGTCTTAAAAGCTTTCGAGCAGCCATCTAAGATACATCAATTGGTTCCAACCCACCTGGAGCAAAGGAGAATGACAAACACCAAAGACACAAGGAAAATATTAGCCAAAGAGACAGAAAGGGCCACATAACCAGAAACTTCATCAGCCTGAAGCCAGAAGAACTAGATGGTGTCCGGCTACCACCAATGACTACTCTGACAGGGAACACAACAGAGAGTCCCTGGTGGAGAAGGAGAAAATCGTGGAACAGAAACTCAAATTCACATAAAAAGATCAGACTTAATCGTCTGAGTGAGACTGGAGGAACTCCCAAAGCCATGGCCCCCAGACGTTCTTAACCCAGAACTAAAACCATTCTTGAAGCCCACTCTTCAGACAAAGGCTAGACTGGACTATGAAACGTAAAATAATACTCATGAAGAGTGTACTTCTTAGTTCAAGCAGATACACGACACCAGATAGGCAGCTCCTGTCCGGAGGCAGGATGAGAAGGCAGGAAGGGACAGGAGCTGATTGAATGGACACAGGAAACCTTGGGTGGAAAGGGAGAGTGTGCTGTCAAATTTTAGGGACTACAACTAGTGTCACATGACAATATATGTATAAAATTTTGTATGAGAGATTAACTTGAGCTGTAAACTTTCACCTAAAGCAAAAAAAAAAAAAAAAAAAAAATTCCCAGGATCAAGGGATTTTTAAGGGGCCCACTAAGTGCTTAGCATGGTGAATGAAAAAATATTCACACCAAGCAATGTCAATGTGAAATTTCAATACACCAGGGATAAAGAGAAGATCTTAAGGCCCCTTGAAATTAAAAGAAAAAAAAAGTTTACATACAAAATGCTGGGACCTAGAATGGCATCAAACTTCTAGCTTCCAGTGTTGAGAAGACAATGGGGCAACACTTCCAAAATTGTGGCAAAAATTCAATTTATAATTCTGTATCAAGCTAAACTATTAAATGTGTGAGAACGTAATAGACATTTTAATATTAAGAAATCTTTTTTTTTAATCTCTCACGCACACTTTCTCAGTAACTTACTGGAAGAAGTACTCCACTGATAGGTTACCACAGGAGAAAAGGTCATGGCATCTGGAAAACGGGATGATATTAAAGGAAAGTCTCTTGATTACAATTAGGCAGAAGCTGAAAGAGCAACCAATCCAGAGTAGAAGAGAATAATAGAGGGTCCTGGAAGAAATGTCCTCAAGAAAAAAAAAGTACAGTTCATGGGTTATCTAATCAATGAAAAATCAGAGATTGAAAGAAAACTAAGCAAATAAAAAGACTGGGTAATTTAACTCCAGGAAAAACAAAAACTTCATACAAGGGGGAAAAAAAACCCCATTGCCATCGAGTCAATTCCAACTCATAACGACCCTATAGGAAAGGGTAGAACTGCCCCATAAGGGTTTCCAAGGAGCAGCTGGTCGATTGGAACTGCCGACCTTTTGGTTAGCAGCCTGAGCTCTCAACCAGTGACAAAAATACAGACTACTTGGCTCAGCAATGAATATTTAAACAACCATAATAAGAAAAGATTGAATGTAGATTTAACCAGAATTATAAAATAACTGTACTAAGCAGATGGTCAGGGAAATAATAGGGTCTAAAATGGATGACTCAAGAGCTTTAAAATGTCACTTAAAATTGATAGATAATATTAGAAGAAAGCAGAAACTGGGAATGGAATGGCAGATGAGGGTCAGGGACTGCTGATTTTGTTGCTGTTGCTGTTTGTTTCTGGTATAAGCCTCATAGTGCTGACTAGGTATCTACATGCATTACTTTGATAAACATTTAAAAATTAAACTTAAAGAATATTTATTGAGTAGTCTTTGTGGCTGGAGCCCTGGTGGCACAGTGGTTAAGACCTTAGCTGCTAACCAAAAGGTTACCCTCTGCCATCGAGTCAATTCTGACTCATAGCAACCCTACAGGACAGAGTAAACTGCCCTGTAGGGTTTCCAAGGAGCAGCTGGTGGACTCAAACTGCCAACAATTTGATTAGCAGCCAAACCCTTAACCACTGTGCCACCAGGGCTCCAACAATGGCTAATTTAAAAAATAGTTACATTAAATGGCTCAAATTCCCTATTTTTATTTCAAGATTAAAACTAAGGTTGGCAGAACATAAAGACAGAAGATCCTGGATTCTTAGGGGCATGGGCTGTCTAACTCCAGACTCCTTTTTATGTGATTGTTTATACTATTTATTTAAGCTACTGCAGTTGAGGTTTTTGTTTACTTGCAGCTAAAAGCATACCAGTTACTATGATAGGCACTGGGAAACAGATGAAGCAAACAGTTCCCAAAAGCTTTTTTATCTACTAATCATAAACAATAAACAACTATAATAACAAACAGAATGCACTACAGCCACAAACGTGGTGCTTTAAGAATTCAGAGGGGGAAGAGATCACACCTAGTTGGAAGACCAGCAAAAGCTTCCTGGGCTGACAGCTTTGGGTCTTGCAAAATTGAGAGGGTTTTAACAGAGATGTACATTCCATGATAAAGAAAGAGCAAACACAAATGTGCAGGGGAAGTAGAGAGTATTTTCAAGGAAAGCAAGGGCTTCTGAGTTGAAAAGATACAAATCACAACCATATTCACTATGTTTGTGACCCTGGAGCATATGCTGTATTTGCAACATATATAAATGACAAAGGATTTCGATTCAGAATTTATAAAGAACTCTTACAGAACAAAAAGAACAAAAGACAAGCTACTCAATAGAAAAAAAACAAGGCAAAAGACACAAACAAGCACTTCACAGAAGAAGAAACATAAAAGGCCAACAAACATGAAAAAACATTTTATCTCATTATTAATCAAGGAAATGTAAATTTTAAAATCCTAATAAGATGACAGTAAACTCCATGCCTACCAGATTTGTAAAAAGAATTTTTAAACTGACAATAAAAAGTTCTGGACAGAATTAAGAAAAACCAGAAGAGTTATATACTACTGGTAAGAGTATAATTTAATACAACTATTTTAGAGGAATAAATTGGTATTATCCAGCAAAGCTGAAGGTATGTATATCCCCATGACCAAACATTTGACTTCTAGGGATATATCCTAGAGAAACTCATATATATGCATCAGGAGAGACATAACAAAAAAATGGTTGCAGAAATATTATTTTCAACAGGAAAAAAGAAAACAACCCAAAAGACTACTGACAGTAGATGAATAAAGAAATTATAGTCTTCATACATGGAATAGTTTATAACCATAATCATGAATAAATTACACCTACATGCAAAAAACATGGATAAATCCAAGAATATAAGGTTAAATGAAAAAATTCAACTTGCAGAGGAATGCATACAGCAGTATTTCATGTTGATATTGTTTAGGGACCTACATAAGGTGAAACTAC